GGGGCACGCAGGCGGCGGGCGTCACCAAGGCCTCCCCCCTCGTAGACCTGGCCAGCTTCGCAGCAGGGCATGTGCTGCCGGAGCTGCAGAGAGCACCAGGTATGAATTTATTTCGTTACATGAGAGAGATAGAAGATAGCGGAATTGTGAGAGAGAAAGGGAAAGATACACCTAAGGAAAAATTTAATCCTTTAGCTATAGAATCAGAATCAAAGTTCTTGATATTTTTAGTATGTGAACTAGAACTGGAAATTAAAAAATAAAATTACTTAATATTAATATGTAATATGTTATTTATAAGTAATAATTTTGGTTTTGTAAAAGTAACAACCGTATTTTAACTATACTAAAATAATTGTTATTTATTTTTGTTTCAGTGACTGAGCTGCCTGTACTGAAAGCGGACGCAATTAAATACATATTGACATTCCGCTCTTTACTACCTAAAGAGTTCCTCGTCACGTCATTCCCTCTATTGGTAATGTACATATGTTTTACTAATATTATAAATGCGAAAGTTTTAATGAATAGATGGAAATTTTTAGAGTATTTAGACTAAATTGCTGTATTTCTATGAAATTTGTCATAGATGTAAGATAGTTTGGAAGAACACATAGACTACTGACATTATGTAATTCCATACAGACGGAATCATATGCGAAAGCTAGTCTATACCAATATTATAAAGAAGAAAGATTTGTATATAAGTATGTATTGAAATAACTCAAAAACTATTGAGCCGATTTCAAAAATTCTTTCACCATTAAAAAGCTACGTTATCACTGAACATTGGCTATATTTTTTTAATCCAAACGGACATAATCGCGAGCAACAGCTATATTATAAATGTGAAAGTACATATTGACAGATGTTTATTAAAGTTTGTAGCCTAAACTGCTTAAATTATCTCGGAAATTTGAAATAGATGTGGAACAGTCTGGAAGAACAATTAATTTTTTTTTAATTACATGCAAACGGAATTGCAGACAAAAACTAGTTTATAATTTTAATAAGATATGTGAATTATTAAATTCCAGATCGAGCATATATCAGGTCGCGGTGTGGTATGCACGTACGCGGCGTGTACAGTGGAGAAGCTGGTGGCGGGCGGCATGCTGCCGCGCGCGCATCTGGAGCCTCACGCACCCAAACTGCTCACAGCGCTATTCGCAGCCCTGGGCGATAATACTGACCCCGCGGATCATAATGAATATGTTATGAAAGGTCAGTGTTAGAAAAATGATATTGTGTATCCGACTCAAAGGACCAATGTGTATTTTTTATATTAAATGATTGAAAATGGCTTAATTACTGAAAAAATTGACGTATAGTTATGCTTTTAATTTTTTTTAATACTAGCTTTTTCTCTCGACTTCGTCCGTGTGGAATTAAAAAAAAAAACAATAGTAGCCTATTTGTCCTTTCAGACTATCCTCTACATCTATGACAAATTTCAATGAGATCCGTCCAGTAGTTAAGTTACAAATTCTAACAAACATCCATCTAAACTTTCGCATTTATAACATTAGTAAGATGTTAGAGCCAACAAAGCTTTTTAACCATTAAAATTTTTGAAATCGCTCCAGTACTTTTTAAGTTATTCCAATATAGATAGATAAAGCCTTTATTCTCTGGAATTAATACTGTATTTACAAATTATTTTAATACAAATCTTTTTTTATAATACTAGTATAGATTTGTAATGAATATAAAGATCAAAAAAATTAAATAAAATTACGTGTAAGTACACTTTTAGCTTTTTCTTATTTATTCCACAAATAAATTAAATCGAAATCCTCTAATAGCAACATGTGCACAAACATTATAGTGGGTATTGAATTAAATTCTCCAACTGTGTCAATTTTCAGCAATACTGCGTACATTGTCCGCACTACAAGAGTCAGCGCTGCCGTTTGTTGGCGACGCGCTGCCGAAGCTAGCCCGCATGCTGGCAGTCGTCGCTAAGAACCCCTGCAAGCCGCACTTCAATCATTATTTATTCGAAACCCTATCGTTATCTGTTTCGTAAGTAATTTATTTGTAATTTTACGTAATTAAAACAATTGTAACTAGTGTAATCAACTCAAACACTCTGAGCCACTGTATCTCGCCAGAATGGCGCGCTATTCTAACGTCTGAATGACATTGACAACTGATAGGGATGGGACGTATATGTCGATGATCTAATGTTGCCAGTCCTCCTGCTCGGTACCGATTTTCTTCATAACTGTAACTAGTCTTCGTTAAAAATAAAATTGCAATAAATATAACCTATGTTACTCAGTGCTAACGTAGCTATTTATGGGTGAAAAAATTTTTGAAATCGACCCAGTAGTTTTTGAGTTATTTCAATACATACAAATACAAATCTTTCTTCTTTATAATATTAGTCATCATCATCATGATGATATTAGTATTGAGGATAAATTATTTATTTTCTATATGTAGCTTTTGTCCACGACTCTGTCCGCGTGGAACTAAGTTTTACATCTCTGCCA